CTTTCACATCAGAGGCCAACGATTTCGCGTTCTTTCCAGCACCACCTTCAACAACGCAATTCGTTTCGTTAGCTGCGCTTAGATTTTATTTGTGTTAAAAGACATTCAAGCACATAGATCACCCATGCAGACCGAACCACCTCGAAACAAGCCGATGACAGATACGAGCTGCAGTTGTAGCGTGGAGTCCATGGCCGCCAACAGGAGCAGCAGTAGCAGCAGCTTGGCGAGGAACGGCAGGCAGCGGCATTAGCTCTGCCTCCTGCGGCAAATGCGAGATTATGGGGCATCTTCGCTCCTCTCCCCACTCCGCATCCATCTCCCCCATACTTACTTACGACACAGTCTACGCGGGGGCACGGAGCCCCAGACCTGGACCGAGGCGGCCGATCCCCCCCTCCCCGAAACTCCTACCAACCCTCCAACAGCCGTCGTCATCACCACCCCTTGATGCTCACAAACATGGCGGGGTAAACTCTGAATTCAAAAAATAACCTCAGGATTTGGCGGGGGCGATCCTGCTTTTTGCCCGGCCTCCTCCCCGCCGGCTACCCGTTCCCCCTTGTTTGAATCGCGGGTCCACGGGAGGATGGGGGAGAACGATTCTGAGGCAGAAATTGATTCTCTCTCTACCTTCTTGACTCCTCCAAGGACAGTCTCTCGTTCATTGTGCAATGGATATGCTTTTTTTTCCTTTGTTCTTTTTCTTTTGCTTTTATAACTTTACTTTTAAATACAATATTTCACATCGATAATACCTATTAGTGTTGTTATCATTTTAGGGTAAAAATAGATAAGTGTAGGTACTCAAGGTGAGAAATCTTCTGCTTATCCACTCCTATTAGTCCTACAATTTGGGCTACAGTGGAATAGGTACCCAGTTGGTACTGGATGAATAGAAAATCCATATAGCATTTGTATCAAACATCTTATTAAATGTTTTACCTAATTGTTTAATACTTGATGTAAATTATTTTTTGGATGAATTTTCGTTTTATTGGGATAAAGTTCAAATTCATTGTCAAGAATATTTTTTAAACAAAACTATGAACATGTGAAAAATATGTGTCATTGGGTTGTATAACAATGTTTCAAAAGTATACATATGTATATATAAATATATCTATATCTATATATATATATATTTGACAAGCCTGAATGTCAATTTTTTGCTCGTTATAATGTTATTTTCCACAAATCTATACTGGTAGATTTAAGTATACCTTTTCAATTACATGTTGCTATAATTAAAAGTACTTGAAAGTATTAAATATTTACTTCAAGTTGTGAGTTCTAACAGAATTTTTATAAAATATTAATTTTACATAAGTGGGTTTTTTATGACTAACTTGTAAAAATAAACATGATAAAAAAACAGAAAAAAACCGTCTGTAGGTTGAAGATATTTTACTACTTCTGTGTTAATTCTCTTCAAATTAATACATCATAAAATCTACCATGAATTTCAATTGGAAAAACATGCAATTAAAACAAAGTAAATATAGATGTATATTAATTAGTAACAATTTGAGATTTTTTCTCAAAAAAACTTTGATATCTTAAAGAATTTTAAATCAAATGATTTTTTCGTGCAAATTATTACAATTCTTTTAATTTTCACTTGAATTGTATAACTAACTATCATCAGGTTTGTTGAAATATTGATACTATCCTCTATTATTTTATTTTGTGTGACTCAACTGTATGAAACAACAAGGATTCTCAAAGATGTTGTAGATATTAAAAATCTAATACAAGGAAAGATACATTAACCAATAACTTACATTGAAAGGATTTTCAACATGGCCAAAAGCAAAAAAGCAAAAACACACATTTTAAGACAAGTGGTACAATTAACTGTCAAAAAATCAATAAAGATGATAGACATCCTAAACTGTGCAAATATATATATATATATATATATATATACGCACACATAATTATTGTGTCTAGAAGTATTTCATTACTCAAGCTCTGATTAGTTTCTCTATGAACAATAAGGACTATTTTTCCACTGGTATTTTGCAAAAAAATTGTAATTTTTTTGTTCTGTTGAACCAAAATTTTACATTTTTCATAATAACCTCATATAATAATTCGAACTTCAAAAGCCAAATACAACTCTAAAAACATATTTGTTTACATATATATATTAATATTTAATTTGAAAATATATTTCATTTTTATAATTCAAATATTCAATACTTTTATTTTATTTTTTGATGTATTGATTGAATAACTATATACATATTAAATTCAATAAGTTATCTATGAGAAAATATGAAGAAGTATACTTTTAGAACAAAATTTTAATGAAGCAAATACAAATGAGCTCATCGCCCAACCAATTGTTTAAAATGAACCTTCCTTGAAGCTCTCATGTAACATAAGTCTATAGTCTAACAATATTAACTTTCTAGTGTTAACACACCAACAATTAGTCCAACTATTAACATATAGATATTTGTATTCTTAAGCCACATGACAACTTAGTAAGTTACAACAACTATGGCAGCTATAGAAGCTATTCAACTATGTGTTGGCTACAATCTTCAATATTCAATTATAAACCATCTCTATAATATCTAATAAGAATTAACCATGTACGTAAATACTCTTTCAACATCATAATATATATATATATATATATATATATATCTCAAGAAATAAAATAAAAATATTTATGAAGCATAAACCAATTTAAGACTATACAAACAATCAAATTTAGCTTCATCTAGTAATGCTTGAGTTTAACTATCCCAATGGTTTGATGCTTATTGTTTAGGAAGATGATGACTTTTACAAATTCACTTCACACACTCACTACTTCACAAAACAATACAAATAAATTATTCTCTATACTTTTTCTTTTTTAGATTGCATTTGGATTTTAACAATATACAACAAGTCACTTATTGCACACCATGCCATGTAAGATTGAAGAAATACACATATCATGTAACATTTGTTTTAGATAATCATTCACTAATATTATCTAACATACAATAAAATAAATATACTAACATACTTTATAACACCTACCAAATGCTATTGGACTAGTATGTTGCATAGGTCCTCCATTTCCTGCATTAGTCAACATTTCAGAGAAAATTATGAAGTACTTTCTTCAATTCAGATCCATGTGGATCACAACAAGGTTATTGAAAACCTTTAATTACAATAAATTTACAACTTTCCACTATTAGCATAATTGATTCAGTTATTATTTTTGATAAAGTTTTGCAGATAATAATTAAATAAAAGGTAATCCCCTGATATTCACTGCTGAAGGGTCTTGATACAGCTGCAATACTTTGTATCAAAAACTATGACTATGCTGCTGAAATATTGTTGTTCACACAAGTTTATACTTTCCTTACATCTTTCAATATTGTTTGTAAATATTACTTCCACTAATATTGCATCTACAAGTGATTATACAATCCAAGATGTGTTTTGCAATTTTGCCTTCACAACCAATTTTGTGGTCCAAATGTGCAAATTTTGGACCACAATTTTTGGACAATGTATTTGTATTCTTTAAAAATTTGTGGTCCAAGAGAATTTCATTCACACAATTGGATGTTTGTCCTACACTCATATACAAGTTGTGTATTTCTGAGTTAAATCTCCCATGCACTCTAATATTAGATAATATATGTCATTGATACTCTTATCTTCTAGAATATATGTTTAATATCAAATCAAATGCTAGCACTTTGAATTAAAGAATTGCAGTTGTGAAATAACAACAATAATAATAAAAATAAAAAACAAGATTTGAAGAAAGATTTTACACAAACAAATTTTATAATTATTGTAGACAATGGATGACATTTAAATCCTTTGAAATCCAAATCAAAGGCAATATGATCTAAGCAACCTTGTTAAAGTCCTTTCTTTATTTGCCACACCAAATTGCATGAACTAGTATGATGTATGATGTAGCACTTTGTAACAATGTGAATGCATAGATTGCCTCTTTAGTATTCAAAATTGCTTTGCAAACTAAGAAATTATAGCAAATATTTACAATAAAGACTTTATTTTTCTCTTTAAATGATTTTTTCTTTATTTAGTTATGGCTATAACTTAAAGAAGCAAAAATATCTTATTGGCAATTCTAGTCAAAAATCAAATAATGGTTGCAGATAATTGGAATGCCACAACAAAATCAATATAAAATATATGTATATATATATATATATATATATATAGTGTTACTAAAGCCACCATACTTTTTGCTAGTGCCATCACTACACATCATCACAATTTTTGCTATCACCACAAGCTATCCTAAACTTGCATTGCATACCACAATAAACTTTATGAAATACTAAAATATACATTTATAAAAAATGTGTACTTTATCCATTATGGTATACATTAAAAAGGTTTTATAAAGTATATTATAGTGTATAACACAATTTTAGAGCAACTTGTGGTGGCATTAGCTAAAATTGTGATGATATAAGATGGATGGCAAGTTGTAGTGGTTCTAGCAAAAATTGTAATAGTATTAGCAATTCTTGTTTTACATGTATATCTATAGTCTACATTTTAGATATATGTGGTTCACATTTTAGATATAGAAGGGCATTTCAAATCGCATACATGGTGTTTAGCAATTGAATTGTTGTTGGTAGAGATGATGTCAAAATTCTATAATATTAAAAAGAAGAATGCCTTTGATTCTTTTGGTGTTTATACATAAGTTAAAATTATACAAAACATTTTGAAACCAATCATGAATAACATATTAATAATCCTTGTTTGATTGGAAAATTCTTTGTTACAAAATTATATTAAAATTAAAATCATAGTGTCAAGTTAATGCTACAAATAAATAAATTACTTAACATACTATAATAAATTTAAACAAAGTGATGATGGCCCCATCAAACATACATTCTATAATAAATGATAGTGATCCTACAAAACTACCAGGTATAGACACATGAAAACTTCAGATGAAGTGTTTTATTTTTTAAAACTTTTGATGCGAAGAAGGGTTTCCCATAGTCATTGGCATACAAGCCTCAAGGTTAGGTCGAAAACGTGGTGGAATGGGCAACAATTACTGTTGACACCATGCGAGACTACTTTGTGCTGTTGAAGACAAAATCGGATACTGCCGTCCTTCCTTCACGTAACTGGATCTGGTTTTCAGGTCGAGCAAAACGGAAGACATTACTGCAAATGTGGATATATTCCCCGACGTGGATGAGAGCCGTAAAGTATACGACTGTAAATGCAACTTGGTCGCCATTTACTTAAAAACTTCAAGTCGGCTTTACATTTTTTCTCTCTGTTTGCTCCTGTAGGACAAGCTGAACTTGTAAGCTATGTTGTATACCTAACATTCTGTATGAGATTTTTTTTGTTAAGTGTGGTGTCATTGACGTTCTTGCTGGATTGATATTACAATGGGGTTGAGAACGTTGTCTCCCCTGGAGACCAGAAAATTTCTTTCTATTGCTGCATTTATACAATGAAACTTTCAGCTACTTCTTTCGATGCTTTGATCATCTTCTGGTTTCTCTTGATGTCTTTTCTGACACTGTATTCGTTTCTACCACTTCAGTATAGACTTCATCAATGAAAGATTCTTACTTCCGACGGAGTTTCAGTTCAAGGTCTTCAGGATACTTATGTTCAATAGTTTTAACGGGTTTACATGAATCCCCTTGCAGAGAACGCAAATTCTGAATGCAGTGGCTACACTTTCCTGCCTTGACATACTTACCGCTCGAGGGGATGCGATCGACACGGTCTACCACGTTAATTATCAGACGGTTTTAGGTTGTGTGTGTAGAATTTGTCTTCACGTTTAAACGTCGTAATTTCTTTCATATTGCAATTGCCGGGGAACCTGAGTGAGGAACGTGTGATTTTCCTATCAGCATTGTTGCGTCGGACCTGGCTCTTATATCATTCTCGAAGTGACGTTTCTGCTTTCATTGATGCAGATATGACTCCTGCAGATAGAACCTTTGACATTGCAGCAATCGTTAAATATCGGCTACTTCCAGAAAATTTCCGAAGGGATGCAAGCACCTTAGATGTTACACGTAACAGTTATTATCGTGTTAGTTTTCGCGGCATGCTGTTAGTTAAATTTTCTTTTTGTCGGTCGGTCAGTTAGTGTTTATTTCGAGGGTTTTGACAGGCTGATGGTTTACGACAAGAGGTATTGGATGAAATACACAGCGTCTGTTCACCACACGCCAATCATCCCAGGGGCTCCTTACAATGGTAGGCTACTTTGATCGTCCTCATGCATTGAGTTCCCTTTGGTCACCCCGCCCTTCTGAATGAGTTGTACCACTGTAGCAGGCTATGAAAACAAGCGTTGATGTGGACGACACAACAGTGATTTATTTTATTTATTTATTTATTTTTTGATAAGCTACCAACTCTGTATGGCATACAATTCCAATTCAGACGAACTTCAGTGATGACGTATTGTGAAGGTGAATTTATACTGCTACTAGGGCCAGGCATGGCTTGTGTATGCCTGTGTGTGACGTTGATGCGCTTCCAACACTGGCAGTACTTCACTCAAGATGGGAGAAAGGAAACAATGAGACGCATCATGCACAGAGATCCTTCATCGAGCTACTGCGAGCATACCTGGTGGGACCGAGTGACGATTCTAGCACATTGTTTGCACTTCTTAACTGCTCTCAAGAGAAGGTTTTCGGCTCACTGCCCCGTCTGTGGACTTCAAATAGCATATCTGAGCCCGATGCTTTGAGGTACACGATTGGTTGTGATCATTTGATCGTTTCTCGCACTGCTGGTTGTACTATTCCCCCTATCACCTCAAGAAATTTAAATCTATTCAAATTCGAAATTTCGTCTGGTGGCAGAAGCATTTTGCACAAAGAACTATCGAAGAATGCATCAAAGATTATTACTCTTCAAGAATCATCAGTGAAAAGTATTTACCATAACTATGTCAACGTCGATTGACGTCCCTAGATTTACCGAGATTTCACGTTCAAAAACATCCGTTTATCATTCCACCTGTGCGAACTTTACGATGAACAGAGCCATTGTGCACCTGGAGGCAGGTTCGCACTCCGACATGTGTCGCTCATTTTTCCCAAGCCACTCTGTCGACTATCTGATTTCGCTCATTCCCAGTCCAATTGAGGTTGTGCGCTTTGAGTCCGTGTTGTCCCTTCTGCGAAAGGGGGTAGAGTTTTTGCAATTGTTGCCTCATAGAAGTGGGCTTCATATTCGAGATCCTGAGCTACAGGGGAGGTTTAATCCACAATGCAGCTAGCTTTGCTGGAAGCCGGTGTACAGGGCAGGATTTGCAGCCCTAATTTGACAGCGTTGCGTACTCGTCAATATCAATGTGGGTCTGTGTCCGTTGCATCGCAATCGATCCCTCTCCGACGGCCTGAGTGCGAGGCCATTACTGCTACAGCGCAGCCGTCCTCCTCGGCTTCGTTGTTTCCTTGGGCGTCTCTTGTCCGAGGGCTGCCTTCACTGAAATTGCAACCGAAGCCGCGCACTTACGGGGTCAGGGCAGAAGCTAGAGGCGTTGGGGCGTATGATAAGGATGCATTTACGAGCGAAGAGGAAGCGAGTAGGCTCGCTCAGGTTGGTTCACAGGGCTTCTGTGTGTCTCGCTTTATATTTCCGTCAGCGGGTGTGTTTGTGTTCGCTGTCCGCTTCTTTCCTCAAACGTATTTTGGTGGAAAATTCATTCTTCCGACTCTAATCTAATTCTTTATTTAGGGTTCTGCCTTAGCTCTAGCTGCTATTGTATAGCTTCAAACTGTTTTGAGCAAGTGACCACCCTGCAACCAAGAAAATGCTCTGATTAATCAATTTCTCAAGCTCATCTTATCATGTCGACAGCTCCTACTCATTGTGTTTCTGTAACCCTGAGCAAGGAAAAGCATTCTTTGGGTTGTTTTGATTTGGCAGAGAAAGACCCGTGCATGAGTTTGCTTTTGTTCCTCATGTCATTTCACTTGGATTGGTGTTGCTTTTTCATATAATCTAACAGATTTTTATGTACCTCGATAGATCCGAGTACTTGCAGAGCAATTGTGTGAATTTGCGTGGCATTCGCCTTCGTTGTGTTCACACCCTGAACTCAAATCTTGGTGCTGATTTTGTAGGTCTCCAAGCGTTTAGAGCGGACTGCTGGCTACTTTAAGAGGTTTGGACAGTTGGGATTCTGGGGACAGCTTGTTTGTACAGTTGTAGCAGCGGTGATTTTGGCATTCTCCGTCGCCATCACTGGCCAAGCAACGGCTCCAGTGTCAACTTACCTCACTGCAGGCGGCATTGCGGCAGCATTTCTATCTGTGTTCTGGTCGTTCGGCTACATTCGCCTATCCCAGCGACTGCGCGAGGCAACAAATGATCCTGCTAAGGTACCTTGCGATGAATTCTGCAGCACTTCGTTCTTTCAGTCGTTGCCTCCCAGTGCAATCACGTTCTAATTCAAACGAGGAATGTTATTGTGAACAGGCGCCTCCACGGGCAGAAGTAATCAAGAAATTAAAGAGTGGAATTGTGATCAACCTGCTTGGATTAGGGTCGTCGGTGTTAGGTTTACAAGCAACCGTAGGTGTACTGGTTGCGAAGGCTCTCACTTCTTCCAGTGTTCCATATTTGCAAGGAGCTTCGCCACAGTTTAGCCCGGTTCTTGCTTTGGACGTCTTTCTTGTACAGGTGAGAGGCCTGGAATTACCAACCTATTGATGTGGCTTATATTCGTTAGTAGTTGTCTGGTATTTCTTTTTCTCTTTCTTCTCTTTGAGTATTATATAAGTATTTTAACCGAGGTTAATCGTGCCAAATGATGTGCACAATCGACTACCCACTGAGGGCTGCCTTTCTAATATTGGCGATTCTGTGTTAAATTATACTGATGCGTCGCATGTACTGCATCCATGTCCAATTTGCTACGTTTCTGGACCTGATTTGGTTCTTGTGTTCATTGTTTGAATGCGAGCAGGCTTCCGGCAATGCGCTGGTGGCGCACTTTCTGGGATTAGTTTTTGCCTTGGAATTGCTCCGGTCAGTTACTCTTTCTCAACCTCCCCCAGATAATGTCATCCCTAGAGCAGCTTGACTGAAGTCGACTAGCCTAAATTGGACCCTAATGTGCAGTGTAATGACCGTTGTATTTTACAAATTGAAAGTTACACCGACTATTCAAGCGCCGTTGAGCGACTTTAGTGAACACCGTCATGTTTCTTTTGCCATTTGGATTTCTGTCGAAGCAATTTGATATTTGTTCGGGTGCACCTGGTATGGATTGATAATATAACCACTCCTCTATTCTTCTTTTTCTTATCTCACTTTCGTGATTCTTTGTCTGTTTCTTGGCTGGATTGTTTGCATGACTAAATCTTGCTACTAGTTTGCGTTAGTTATGTCCTGAGAAAAATTATAGACGTTGAACTTTGGGATTATGCTTATCCAAACCTGTTTACTGCCTGAATTCTCGTAATCATTAGGACATAGTCGCAGCACAATCCTGATCATAATACGTTTTCAAATTTTCCACTAACCATGCTTCAGCTTATCCGTTGAAAATGTCTTTTTGGTGGAAGTAAGACCTTTGATGTTGCTCTAACTCAACTTTGGTTAAGGATATGTCCTCCTGTGGATCACTTTATCTCGACCAGAAAGTGAGTTTGAAGTGTTTCTAATAAACTTTATGGTCGGTTTGTGAACTTATCAAACATTCATCTGAAATGTTGGTGTTCAGCTCTTTCCATTGTTCCTGTAGAAGCATCAATGATATGTATGCCGAGAAGGATTCTAATGCAGCAATTGTGCATTTTACATGCTGTCAGAAACAATCATACGTTCTGCATGTGGCAGAGCATGTTCTTGACTGTCTCTTGTCACAAGCATTGCACAGAAATGGTTTTGTCGTCCCTATCCCCATTCTTCTCCTCGTACCCTATCCCACAGTCCGATTTTGATTTGTTTTCATTTTATTTCTATTATTCAAGAAATGGAAATAACATGTTGTATTGGTAGTAAGAATGGTATCAAAGCTATTTGTATCTCATCTTGAGGGCAAATTGGGACTAAAGCTGTTGTAGTGAACTGTGGAGAAATCCTAGGACTTTTTGTATTTGGGAAAATGTGGATGATTAAATCACAATATAGGAGTTTAGATTGTCTATGAATTGACATTTCTCTTTTAATACTCAAGATGTTAGTAATTTAAGAAATATTTTATTGTTTAAACTTAAGTTTTATTTTGGTTCAGTTTCAAAAAAAAAAAAAATCTAATTTTTTATTACATTATCTTGCTGTAATTATAAATTATTAACTACAAAATTTGATTTGAATATTTGTTGTCTAATATTTTATAACTAATTGATTTTGTCTTGTATTCTATTACATGGTTTACTTACACACATATTTGAAGATAACATAACATTAAAGAATGATTATTTTCCTGTAATTTTTTTTATGGTATCTTTTTTAAAAATCAGATATTAGTAATTCAAACAAAAATGTTCTAGAAATTTATTCATATTTTTAGTATCGCTACAATCTTCAGATTCTTAAATTATTTTAAGTATTACTGAGAAGTTAATTATTTAAAAAAAATGATTTTATTATTTATTTTGAATTCACTGAGAATCTAATATTATACTCTTCTAGCATATGCACTTTATCAATATTGTTTTATTTTTTGAAGTTTTTAATTCAAATAAAATATTTGGTCATTTAAAAAAAATCATATAAAAAGTTTGAAATACTATTTAAATATTGTTAAACCTTATTCCATCTTGCAAAAGTTCAATAGTTATTTGGCCAATTTTAATATATGTAAGATACTTTTCTTTTCTATTTTCCTGCTTGTAGTTAAGAAGATCAAATTAGAAGTCTCCTAATACTCTATGAAATAGTTTGACAATTTTGATACTATTTTCTTTATCTTCAAGAATATCTCCTATACACACTATGTATATACATCACATATTATAAAGTTTCAATGGTTTCTAGTTAAACTTGGTCATGCGTTTAGTTTAAGAAAAGTTAATTTATCACAATGTAAAAGGATATCACTTGCAAATGTGTGACAGATAATATGCGTTTAAAGCATTACTCCAATAAAATTGAATATAACATCATAGAAGAGTTTATACTATCATCAAACATAAAAAGTCTTGTAATTATTAGGCAATTGAACAAAGGAACTTATGATAAGGTTTATAAATCAAAGTGGTTGGATCTTGTGTGTGCAACTAAAAAAATAGATATTGAATTTGATAGAACATTTATCAAAGTTATAAATATTTTAGTAAGGCTAACCCATTTTTACTTTGTAAAATATTATTTTGCAGTAAAGAAAAATGCAAATGAAAGTAGTCCATGTTGTATACCTATTAAAAAAAAAAAAAAAAAAAAAAAAAAACTTGTATTTAGGGATAAAATTGATGAAAGCAAATTTAAGGAAGATGTTAGAATAATATAGACAAATAAATTATAATATATATATATATATATATATATATATATTGATACATGTCTCAAAATACAAATGGGATGTGTTGCTTGCATGATATATATATTGCACATCATAATTTAAAGCTTGATAATATCTTGCTTAATATTATGGAAGAGAAAATCAAGAATATGATAGTTTGACAATGATGTAAAGAAATTATATAAATATCATATAATTATATTTTGATCTTTATATATTAAATAAGTAAAAAATTATAATTAAAATACACAATATTTATGCCAAAGCTTATGGCTAATAATAAGATTATATTTTAAGAAATTTTATTTTGAAAAGAATTTAAGCTATATCAATAATTAAAATGTATAAATAATTTGATAGTATTCCTATTTTGTTATTTTTTTCTTATATTTAATATCTAATTAAAATTTTATAAATAAATTAATATTATATTTTTCTTTATATGAACTATATCTATTTTATTTCTTAAATAAATAGATATAGTTTTTTTAGTATTAAAAATATAAATTGATGCAAATAAAATAAATATAAAAATTACAGAACAAAATCTTTATTTTTTTTTTTGGTTTTTTTAATTTATAAAATTAATTGAAATAAATCTGATTTATTAGCAAGTCAAAAAAATCCCACACTTTTTAAAATAAAAAAATATGATTAAATTTGAATAAAAACGAATATGCTAAAAATAACAAATTATATATTTTAGACTATCTCTAAAAATTTATTATATTAAAATTATTTAAAAGTAAAATTTTAAAATAGAATTAATGATATTTAATAAGACTTAATATAGCAAGTAGAATAACCAAGGTGAACAATATTCTATTATCATTTATACTTTTTTTTTTTTTGCATTGCATTCATTTTAAAACATGTCCTTGCTACACCATGATCCTACCTTCATTCCTAACCTTGGAGCAAAGTCCAATGCTTTTTTTTGGTTCTATGTTTGGCCCCAAATAAGGGATAAAGGTTCAATAACCAACACCATTAGTACTCCTCAAAACTTCACCATATGAGCTAAAGTGTAATTTTTTCCAATTAGGTACATTTATTGCAATAGAAAGTAATTAAAATTTCAGGAAAAACTTCTACTTAAAATAAATAAATAATATAAAATCTCTAAATTATATAGTTTGTCATAAACTCCTAGTTTGTAAACAAGTTTGTATGGAGTTGTACACCTAGTTTTATCATTGATATAAGTAATATGATTTTAAATATAGCAATTATGAGTATTAAAAGATTTTAGAATATCAAAAATTACTTTTAAAAATTAATTTTATGTATTAATTTATATTATAATATAATATGAAAAAATCTTATTGTAATCATATACAATGGTATTTACATCTTTAGGCTTCAAGCAACATTTTATCAATGTTACTAGGTTTTCAATATTTTGACTTATTAAAGTAGATTGAATGTTCTCTTCATCCATGTCTTAAAATATACTATAAGATTTCTTGCTAAAAAAATTTAAAAGAAATAGAAACAATAAAAAATAAAAAATAAATAGTATTTATGAAAATTATGCTAATATTCTAAACATGCTTAGTGTACTTTTTTTTGTATTCCTTTTATCATGTTAAGAAGAAAAGATTGCTTATTAACTTGCTTAATTTTTTTTTTTTTTTTGATAGAATACACAAACTCAATACTATAATTAATATCTAAATTTCATTGTATTATGCTGAGAAGACGCTTGGCTTATAATATTTAGTCTTCAGAGCTACATCAATTATGAGAACTTATTATTTATTATCAATGAATTGTGTATATCTATCTATCTATCTTGATTTTAAAAGTATTAAAAGTCGTTGTGGTGTTAATTGCCATCACATACAATCATCTTTAACATATCATACTTATCTAATGCGCATGATTTTTTTCATAGCTTATAAAGCAATAATAGAAGGTTATTAAAGATGTAGTGAGCATTAAATGATGCAACTCATTTCTCCAATATGAGTTCCAAAACTACTTGCACTTTTGGAATGCAATGAGATTAAATGTAAATAGAGACATCTTTACTTATATTTAACTTAACTCCATTCTAAAAGATAAGACGTATTGCAATTGAAGTTAAATATTTAGCATTTAAGTTTTTGTTTTGTTTTGTTTTGTTTTTATTTTTGTTTTTTTTTACATTATTTTTGTACTAATATTAAATAAAAATGTATTCTATTTATTTTAATTGGTAATATTTTTAACTTATAAAATAATTTTTTTAGAAATTTTGAGTAATATTACAATATTTTTTAAAAATAATATAATCACCATATTATGTCTTATTATTTATTATAAGAATATGTAATATTTTTTATTTTATTAGTTGAATGAATCTTAATTATGTATAAAATATTAATTTTTATATTAATTTGGAATTGTGTAATTAATCTTTAAAAATATGAAATTAAAATTTAGATACATTTATAATTTATTTATTTTTTGAATTAATATTTTAAGTTTTAGATAATCATTGAATTTGAAAATTTTAACAAAATTATAATAATTTATTAATAATTTAAAAATTATAAATAAAATATCTTAGTAATTTAAAACATTTAGATATAATAAAATTAGTAAATATAATCTATGAATTTAATATAATAATTTAATATATATATATATATATATATATATGATGTTTTTTTGATATAAAAATTTAATATGGTTTTAAATTTTAAAAATATATTTTATTGAAGTAAAGAATAAAACTACCTGAAAAAATAATAATAATGAGATGTTATCTATTATACTAAAAATCAAATAATA